AAAAAATGCAGACAGGCGCTTTTCCCTTGCTTTCTTCAACTGGCTTAACACATAGTTTCTGCATTTCTGTGCGGTTATTTACAGTAATTTGAATCGTTGCAATGACCCGTTGAGTACTAACATGCCTGGGACCGTTGAACCTTTGAACAGATTTGTATTGGTGAATAATGCTGTGAGAAGTACAATACGAATTGTAGGCGAACTGTGCTGTGAAAAGGATGGCCGCCGATTAGGTAATTGCTGTTGGTTGTAAAAGGATACGGACGTATGCAAAGATCTGCGAGGTGTGATGTGGATGTTGTTGGAGCGGTGAATTACACCCCCAAAACAAAACGTTCCCCTCTGCTCCTTTCTGGACAGCGGAAGTGAGCAGTTGCCGTTTGCGGCCGCTGAGAAGTACAAAATATGATTTTTATGATCGTTGGCGGTGGTGGTGGTGGCCGATGCGCAGCAATCAACAATGATTTTAGGGCTCCGGAGCGACGCTGCTCCAGCAAATCAGTGCAATGATTTTATGACCGTTTAATATTGTAAGGGTACATTATGTAAGTGCTTTGGTGAATGGAACTGACGCACGAATACCCGCATATAGACACATAAGTGTGCATGCGCACCATATTTCTATTAGTTTGTGGTAAGACGAAAAAAATTGCTTTTGCGACATTACAATCGGTTGAAAAATTACGGATCTAAGAAGTAATAAAAGTGGCAGAGGTTAAACGGTGAAAAACTTGAGATCGGAGAATGTCTAGCACGGCGCAGGGAGCTTACAGTTCAGGGATGAAACACAGACGTCACCTAGTTTAAATATCGGTTGTCCCACGTGAGATAGCTAAATGGCGTTTTTGGTTTTAACTAAATATTAAAATTCCACTGTTTTTCTCTTTGTAGGCCTACGCTGTAACCAAATTACACATGCAGTCGCAAGGTGCGTCTTTACCCCGTCTTCCTCCAGTCGTCTAATGCTGTCAGTTTGATTATTTTCATTAGCATTTTCAGTAGTATTCCAAAAATTTGCCAGTACTTCGGAGAGAAGGCGAGTGAGGGGAATAGCCTTCTAATAAAGTGAGATAATAAACTCACTTCAAGGCAGGAAGAAATCAACAGTGGCGCTCGGTCATGCATTTTTGCGCAAACTTTGATTAGATCGTTAACCGTATGAATGGTTGTTGCTTTACTAACATGTGTACTCATACTGACATGTTTTTAGCCATTTGCTATAGGGAATGAGAGGTGCGTCCGCTTATGGCTGGGACGGTAGTGCTGCATTGTGGGGCTGCGTGATTTATCAAGTTTCCAGTATGGCCGTCGTGTTGTCGATGACTGTGCAGTCTCAAGTTTTTATGCGTTTTTTGCAGCAATGCAATGCGAAAAACGCATATTGACGAGAGGTTGTCTGTGTGATTTTTATGCGTTTTTTGCAGCAATGCAATGCGAAAAACGCATATTGACGAGAGGTTGTCTGTGTGTTCGTGTGTCTGTGTGCCTGTGTGTGCGTCTGTCACGCACTTTCATCTCCGGACCTATAAAAGCTGCGATGTGTCTGTGTGTGCGCTGGGCCTCTGTATCGGTTTTTCATCTCGAGACCGGCAAAAGCTACGGAGCTGAAACTTTGGGGACTTGTGCGTGTGTGTGTGCGCTGCGCGTCTGTACCGATTTTTATGCGTTTTGTGCTGTGTAACAGCCGCGTTTTTTGCAGCTATGCAATGCAGAAAACGCATATTGACGAGAGGTTGTCTGTGTGTGTGTGTGTGCGTGCTGTATGTGTGTGTGTTTGTGTGTGTGTCTGTGTGTGCGCAGCGCGTCTGTACCGATTTTTCATCTCTGTTTGTGTGTGTGTCTGTGTGTGCGCTGCGCGTCTCTACCGATTTTTCATCTCGAGACCCACAAAAGCTACAGGGCTGTTTTGTGTGTGTGTCTGTGTGTGCGCTGGGCCTCCGTACCGATTTTTCATCTCGAGACCGGCAAAAGTTGTGTGTGTGTCTGTGTGTGCGCTGCGCGTCTGTACCGATTTTTCATCTGGAGACCGGCAAAAGCTACGGGGCTGAAACTTGGGGGGTATGTCTGTGTGTGCGCAGCGCGTCTGTACCGATTTTTCATCTCGCTGGGCCTTTGTACCGATTTTTCATCTCGAGACTGGCAAAAGCTACGGGGCTGAAACTTTAGGGGCATAATCTGCATGCACGTACGGGCTCCCATCCACAAAATTGGCGCCAAAACCCGCGTGGTACCCGCCAAAGTTTTTTTGGGGTCAGTTCATAACTCGAG